CGCGGGCCCACCCCGAGGAGCTAGCGCCGCGACGGCAGCAGGGAAAGCCAGGCTCTCCGGGAAGAAGGGCTGCCCGGCTCCAGAGCGTGTGCGGCCCCGATCAGGCTTGCGTTTTGCATCGCTTTTCAAAGCGCCACTCGGCACGTTTTACGAGCTCCGGCTGACTTCAAAGCAACCCTGCGATTTGGCCCGCTGTGATAATTAGAAGCAGGGATGTTTCCCAAACTCCTTTCATCCTGAAGCATGCCGAAGCATTTCTGACAGCTTGCAGATGACTCTGCTGCTTTTTTATACCCCTTCAGGTGCTAGCAAAGCCACCTCCAGAGAGCGAGCCTGCCTGCGCCAGCCCCTCAACGCTGCTTGCAGGCCTCCCTTTAAAAAAAAAAGCACATGCTCGATGCAAACCCTGAAACGCAGCCTGCTCCAGGGCGCAGCACGGTGCTCGGGAACAACTCCGCGGGGCCCGATGCAAACCCAGGCTGCAGGTCAGGCTGCCAGCAGGATTCGGCGTTACGTTTGGCCAGGCCCGCAGGGCTCACCCCCATCCAGCCCCTGCAGCCCTGCCCTCACCTATAGGTGGTGATGTATCTGGTGGGGAGGAAGGTCTCGAGGCTGGATGTCCAGGAGCAGGAGAAATTCTCATCGGGAACAACTCCGCGGGGCCCGATGCAAACCCAGGCTGCAGGTCAGGCTGCCAGCAGGATTCGGCGTTACGTTTGGCCAGGCCCGCAGGGCTCACCCCCATCCAGCCCCTGCAGCCCTGCCCTCACCTATAGGTGGTGATGTATCTGGTGGGGAGGAAGGTCTCGAGGCTGGATGTCCAGGAGCAGGAGAAATTCTCATAGTCGGACGCTCTGCAGGACACAAAGGGGACCCCCGGCAGGTCTGGGGTCCGGGGAGCGGGGGGGGAGCGACGGTAAGTGAAGGAATTCCCTGCCCCGTACCGACCTGCGTCACTGCACAAGTCCCCTCGTGACAACCCCCTGCCAGGGGTCTGGCCAGGGCGAAACCCCAGCCCGAGGACGGGCTGCCACCGCTCGCCCGCCCTGCGG